TCCAAAAACAGTCGGGAGAAGTGCCAAAAACTTTTAAAACTTTCATTGTTTAAAAGGAGTTTGCCAGTTCTTGCGTAATCGTGCTTCTGTTGTTACACTGGTCCGCCCAGTTTACATGCAAGAACCATAAATTTTCACTACTTCCCTTTGTCGCACTGAGTTTTGTGCATTTGCCGGTTACGCATAACCGCGTTCACTGCCTGTATTCCACAGGGTTCTATCGGAGGTGATATTCTCGGCTGAGCGAGGGCGCTGTGGTCTTCTCTTTGCTCGTCATAATTACTTTCAATTGCTGTTACATGTTTTATCGGGGTAGATTGCGGTGTTGATATGAGGGAGCTTCGAAATTCTCCGGCATTTGTTTGCGTTCTTGACTTTAATGAAAAATTTGGATCGTGTTTATATTCAGGCGTATCCTTTTAATGCAATCAGTCGCGCTCCTGTTCTAAAATTGTTCACTCTCTTGTAATCACTGCGTCAAAACATCAGTGGCGCCCTGCACCACAATTTGTAGAACCTAAAATTTACCTGACCAGAGCACCGCACCTCCTGTTTGAGGTGATGGAGGAGGATTCGTGTTCAAAGCGCATCCCGAACAAGTGTTGCTTCTTCTATAAAGCATTTATGTGTGAGCTTGACCACCATTTTTATCCCAGGATGCCAACCCTAAAGTGGTCATTCCGTACACTCAAGTGCGCCACTCAGTTGGCACTCCTTCTCCACTTAAATTCACATATTATAACAGGTATTTTTAATCGTGATAGCTTTTGTACATATTAAATGTTTTCAAACCTATGCTTTCTAGTAGAATCGCGGAACAATTTCTCTTCAATGGGTTGATTGAAGGCTGCTGCATTGCGAAATGATACATGATTTTGTTGTGAAGGTGGCATGGATACATTTGCAAAAAAAAAGACAAAATAAAAACAAAAAGACATGCCACCCTCCTGGTACATTAAGGGATGGTAAAAATTTCATAGATAGGCTTTCAGTAGGTTTTTTAATAGTATTTAGTTATAAAGAAGTCTTTAAAATCTGTTTCATTTTCTACATTCTCTCCCCATGATAAAAGCTCAAAAGTGGAAATTTTGCATCACAACATCGAGTTCATAAATTCAGAAAACAATCTCGCCTGTTGTTGCTTTCCGAAACATTATTTCATTCTTCGGAGTCAAAATTTCGGACCAATTTGAAGCCTCCTTGCTAGTGGCGTGTAGTTGACATCGGTCTTTCTCATTTCTAAATTTGTTTTGGTAATCTGTGACAGATGGTTCCGAATTTTTTCACAGGAAAACGAATTGCCGGTCCAAGCTGGTACAATTGATGCTCTCATTGTCTATGCCACTTCACTTGGCCGTTCTCACCGATCATGTAAGTCTTACTTGGCACCGAAATGACTGCTTTTCAAGCATTTCAATGTTCTGATAAAGCGTTTATTTCAAGAATTGCGTTTAGCATACGCAAATTCTAAAACAAATACTTGTAACAGCCGTGACTTTGGTTGGAAAATCTCCCTGTAGTACTGTTCACTAGACCATTTTTTTTTCCTGTTTGGTGGAGAGACCAGATTTCCTGTTTTTGCCTACCTAGTCCTCCTAACACTGGACGTTTTTTTGGTGATGTATCGGACATTCGTCACTCTGGAAGAATTGGTTAGCCTTCTCATTCAGCGCTACCTCCTTTTCCAGTCCAGTATCAAATTGATCGCCACCGTAGATGAGAAGACAAGAGAGAAGATCTGCAATGTCGTCGTCTCCTACCTCATACGTGTGGTTAGTCGCCTAAACTTTACTCCAACCTTTTGTTGTTTGAATTCAATTATGGCAGAAGTTTTGAGGTGTGTTTTGTGGTGCTTTAGACCTACGAATTTATAATAAACCAACGTAACAGACAAAGCCAAGACAAGGAGACTGCATCCAGAGTTAGTGTAGTCAAGGGTTTATCGGAACAGAACATTAAGGCACTGGTGTGCTTGTCAATTTTCTCAAAATTCATTACACTTTCTAGCAGCTATATACTACTGCAATGTTGCGTATCAAGGATTACTTGAAGCATACCTTATGCTTGTGTGGATGTCTTATCTTCCCTTTTGTGACATCTGATCGTCTGTAGCAGGTCACTCTTTTCTCCTACTACCTCCCTGTTCCTTGGTTTTAGATCGCCTTTTTTTGCCCACTTACCAATTTCTCCCCCCTTCTTTCTGAACTAAGGCAAAAAGTATATCTCATCATTGTTAACGTTCGGTAATGGTTGTAGCTCCTAGTTGGGACAAGTCCCACCAAAAGCAGCGCTACAGACTAGTCAAGTGAGGATCTTGGGCAGAAATTATTCTTTCACCTCAAAGAGGAACTTTTCTCTTCACAAATTGACACCATATTGGTAGCTCACTTGACCACTTCACCGTCGGGTTAGGCCGCTATTTTATTGCGAGGTCATCCCGGTTGACCTCGTTAGCCTGACCTCAGCCTTGTGTGGCTGATTCGCTTCACCCAATTAATGTCGAAAAGTAAACCGGCAACAGGTTCCGTGTCATCAAGGGAAGGTTTTTTCGCACCTCTATATCTGCCTTTCTCATTAGCGGAAGGGTTGATGACTGGTGTTAGAGCGTGATAGTGTCACTTTTTACCAATTCCTACTTGCGACATTTTGAACAGTGGCCTTAGCTTTGGTCCCAAGATTACAGAAAGGAATGGGAATGGTGTAAAGGTCACTTTTTTCCAATTTAATGGAGAGGATCACATTTATTTGTTTGCTCACTAACTCCCCATCCAATCAACTTCATTCATCCATTTTTTTTTATTAATTTTTCTATGTGCTGAAGTTGTACCCACTTTCTTTTCCCCAAGGGAGATGCAGATGCTAAATAAGTTATTTTTAACACGCATGAAATGGAAGTGATCTTTGCCTTTGTGTCGAAATTTGAGGCATTATCGTATGCAAAGTAAGTTGCAAGAGGCACAACTTCGGTAAAGTTTGGACATCATCTCCAACATTGGCAGCTCCTTGATTCATATGACGTCATTTGGACTTGGCTCTTGTCCAGCTTTTCTACTAATTGCAGTAAGGGTTTGAAACATTATCATTCCATGCGGCATTTTGTGCTGCATTCATCTGTCCATGCCGCCTAGTTGGGCTCGCTTTTGGGGTGCAAGGGGGATCAAGTCGATATATCTTTTTACATCTATCACGCATATACCGCCTCTATACTGTTTAGTGCTTATTGTTAGTTGACAAGATTCAGTGAAGCATAAAACCTATCTGCTCCTTTTAAAGTTAATTCAACGTCCGTGTTCTCTTCCACCTTAAGCATTGATTCATTTTTTTACCCTCTCTACCACTTACTCCTTGTTCCAACGAAAGGAAATGGCGGTTGGAGGTGAGCACTGTGAGTAACGGTTACTTAAAATGGGTGTAACTGTCAATTCAGCATTGAGAAGGCGAAATTCGTCTATTTTAGAATTGGGTGGAAGCTAAGAATGGGATTTGGTTATGCTATTGCTGATATTTTGGGGATAGCCGATGATTTACACTCACTTGCCCAAATTGGCATTCATGGAATGATTTTTGTTAAATGCCGTGACATAATCAAAAGTTCAAGACCTTGTGGATAAGTCAGCATTTGCGGTCATATTTTGACCTAAATACTTTGAACATCACACTTCAATAATTGGCTAATGGATTTTCAAGGAACTTTGGCTGTTCACTTAATCCCAATGCCAGGCGTGTCTTTTAGTTGTCTGGCTCGCGTCACAAGCGAGCACCTAACGACTATGACATGCGAAGTGGCAATGCTGGAGAAGGTACTGGAGCTCACATCACACATTAGCAGTATTACTTACAACCCATAGTTTATGTATCCGTGGGGCGGGGCAAACCTGACAGCAGAAGTGAGGGGCACTTAGGCTTGGGATTAGAGGCTAAACATGACGGCTTGAGAATCTACCTTACCACTAACTTTTCTAACAACCTTATTGCAAATTTGGGTTTACTACGCAACTTATTTGGCCATAAGGGAGGTTAGGAAATTACCGCTTTCAACGTCACCACATTCCTTGCCGATGCAGCACGCTCTTTGTTGCAAACGCCTTACGACGAAATGATTTTTTTTCAGCAGTAATGCAAGTCCTAACATCCTCGAATCTCCTCATGAATTAGCTGTAGCAAGCATTTAGAATGCGTCACTATGCAAAGTGGGATTGGAAATCGAGTAAATTTGCGATTGGTTGCAGGCTTACTCCGCAGGTCTGTGTTGCGCGAGAACTGCGCATTTCGTGTCAAAAATGAACAGTTTGTCCTCGGTTGTTATGTTTGCTCAATTTTTATTTGGGTTCTGGATCGAATACATTAAATGTAGTCTGTTGTAGATGTGCAAATTGGGCAAAACAACTCATGAAATGATAAAATTGTGAAGTCTCTCATTCCCTTCTACTGGGAAGGAAAATGAAGGAGTGAAAATCCGTTGCGCGTAGGAAAAAAAGGACTTCGCTACTACTTACTTTAACTCTAATGTTTCCAATTTTTGACATCAATAAACCTAAAAGTTCAAATTATGCAGGTCTGAAAAGTGATGTAATGGCAACTGTAAGTGCTATCAACGTAATAAACCAACGCGCACACAATTGTCAGTTCAATATAGACATCGGGATAATGTGAGAATCACTGTGAAACGATGCACCAAGGCTCCTATCACCGAAAGTGCGAAAACTGAAGTCGTATCTATTCACTTGAACAGCAGTCTTCAAGCATAGTGCCTTGCAATTTTAAGACATCAATCTGCCTAGCCACAAAACGTTAAAATTTGCAAAGAATAATGTCACTTTGCAGCAGCGATCATTTTTTGAAAGTTCTACTGATCTGGCTTCACAAGATTCGTCAGCTAAGTAGGTATAGGTTACAAAGTTTTCTGACAACTTTACTTCGAGTTAAATGCGGCGACGGCCACAGAAATACGTGTTGTTTGGAGGTCCGGGAAGATTTGTTCTACTCAGACATGATCATAGATGAATAGGGTAGGGAGTACGCTTTCATATTTATGTCGTGCTCTTGAGGCCTGCAGACAATATAAGGAGTTGCAGTCTTGTTGAAACACTCAGGATCCCTTCTACTTCCTTGCTTTTGAAACCACACAATTGGCATTGCTACCGTAAGATTCTATAATTATCTTTGCTTCCTAGAGAATTATTGCTTAAGTATGGCAAGTGTTTGCATTGGTTTTGCGATAAGTCGGGAACCTGAGCATTGGAATTGATCACCTGTGAATGAGATTGTTTAATTCCGAAGCTTCTACTTTCATCAGATTTTCAGTAAACAGTTCATGTTTTCTGCCCTGTCCCATAAAAGTGCTTACCTGTTTGTCCCTCGCTTACCAAACCAAACTTGAGCAAAGCAAGCCTGCATTAATGCAGGTCAGTGATTCGTTCCGCTGGAATCCACTTTACATTCCATCACCATGCACCATCTTCCACATAGCAAATCAAAATGGGCTGTCTCCTGAGATCAACCTAGTTAGGTCAGGAAGAGCCTACGAATTTGGAATAACGCCTGCTTTGATTGGACGAGAAATTTTAGTCTTGGATTGCTTGTGCAATTTAAATTTTATCACATTAACCACCTACTGGAAAAGGAGTCTCCACTCACAAAGGGGGAGGGGGAGGGACAAATATTGCCTCAAACAAGTCCACCTCTTTTAATAATGCAGAGCCTGCATCACACAAATTGGGGTAAACTTTATTTCTTGGTGCTTTAAAATTTACGTTCACCCTTACGAATTATTAACGCGTGTTATAGTAGGAGTCGAAATGTACTAAATGAACTATGGTTTAATTTTATACAAATTTTAAGATTTGTTCACGAATCAACTTGGTGCACTTTTTGATGCGATCTTCTGGAATTTTCTCCTTGTTTTAGATCTCGCAACTTTCCACGTATCCAAATCCTCAGACCTACACCATCCTGGGGCTGTTTCGGGAGCGTGTGATGGAGGATGGTTATGGAGGGCTTGCAAGAGCTCTGGACTTCACCCTTTCGAATCAGTTAAAACGGTGTCATCAAAGCCGGATTTTGGCTCAAAATCAAGAGACAACTCCACGTCCTCCCAATTCTATCACCACCTCCGCTGTCAGTCCAACCATCTATTTGCGGACAGACGGGGAGGCCTACGGTTCCCCTTCCGCTAACACTGCTATATCACCGGGTGTCGGCGTTCGGCGTTCTCATTCCATCGGCGCAGTGGCTGGTACAACCGTGTCCCCTCCCAACTCTTTGATAAAGAATTGCGGTTTTAAGAGCACTGCCACTGCCATCACGACCACCACTACTTCTAACACCTCCTCAGGGTCAGCGCGCAACTCATTCTCCATCGGCCAGGGTGGAGAAAACTCCCTCCAGTCTTCACCCACTGCTTCTACCCCTGCCCTCTCTGACATCGATTTTGAGGCGACATCGATGACAGGGTCAACAGTAGCAGGTGGTCGGTCCTCTACAGCTTCGTGTTTCAGTTCTCCCGCCTCATCCCGCCGCCTCCTCGGTCCCTCAGTGCCCATCACTCTAGCAACACTCCGGCGGCGCTCGCGTAACTTCGCCTCAGGTGGGGCGAGACGCGCAAGTCTGTTGGACATTCCAGCAAAACATTTAGCAGAGCAGATAACCTACTTGGAGGCTGAGAAGTATTCCCGACTTACGGTAGGTGTTTGTCATCTTTGCTCCTGCCTCTCGATTGGATTCAGCTCACTACGGCGACACCAGCGTACACAAGGGATGGAAGACTACTGGTACAATGACAGTGATGAGAAAGGCATACACACTACTTTGTGCAATCAGAAATCAACCACATCTATTAAGCCGTATTTCGCCATGTGGGTTGATAAGACCCCATAGAACAAACTGAAAATTTTGTATACCGAATTACGTACCAGAGATCATGAATGGTTTTAGACTATTAATTAACATGTCAAAATTTTTGCATGAATAGAATTTGAAGTAAAATGTAGATTTCAGACACCTCGAGCTAATATCGTCAAAAGACGAAGAGCTTCAATGGAGAAAATGGAGTCGTCCACTGTCCCTAACGATTGTACCATAACCGACTGGACAACTTTGTCAAGTAAGAAGGAGTCGCTAATTTCCAAACTCACCATGCACGTATGATCGCCTTTACCTAACATAAAGCCTTGAAATTATAGCCGGTACGGGCCTGTATGACTAACTGATATGAAATTGGGGCTGCTTCCATAGTCTGCATCTTCCTCCTCTTTGGTGTCCAGTGCGCAGCTCATTTATGCCTCGTGCCTCTGTTAGCAGCACCCCTCTAGAACGCGCCTTCGATCCCCTAACTTTATGCATGAATCGAGTAACATTTCGGTGTTGCGAAGTGCGTTGAAAATTGTCTCGTTCCTCAGTATTCCTCGACCATGTGTTGATGATAAAATGAGGAGAAAGAATTAGGGGGGGGGGTCATAATGTTCTCTCACATTTCTGTCTTATTAGACTTTTACTTGATTTTCAAACATCTTAACCACATACTAACATGGAAGCGTACAGTGGTAATGGCAACACCGTCAAAGTACTTTTTTTGAGTAAACCTCAACTGCATTGTCAGCTTAAAAAACCGAGTTTGGATACTGGTTTTTTACGCAACTACAGGCTAAATAGCCCTGCTGTTAAAGTTCATATCCGCTGTACTTTTTGTGACCAATATAGTGTTATATATGAAGGTGATATTAAGCCACAGTGAACTTGCGAAAAAGTGATTGGCTTTGCAGCACTGACCTCATATTTCATAACTCCTAGCAGTCACTGCCGGGATCTTTTGATGGGAACTCGCTTTGGATGTCTGTAGATGATGAGTATTTCTTGATATTGAGAGGAGGCTTAATATTATCAGGGCGAAAAAATGTATTGGCGACGTAAAAAAAGGGTTGAAGGGCTACTGGCATGATCCAAAGGGTATGCCATCCAGCAGGAGTACAGGACGAGGAGCTAAACGAACTGTCACAGTATTACACAGTTCCTATCCTGAATTGAGCCCCATTTCGAGGCTCCTTTTGGTCAGCAAAATGTAACCTACAGTTTAGAATATATTGACCGCAACTTTTAACATGATTTTTCACTAAAATTTCGAGGTTACAACCTCTTCGGTTCTGTTTATTACAACCCATTGCTTTTCATTCGGGCATTGGTCGCAACTCTGAGTCATCTAATAAGGAATGACGGGAAATAAAGTTTATCAAAGTAAGGTTTCACCTCTGTTTCTCCTTCCCACTTTGTTCTCTGTCAATGTGGCACTTCCATATCCAGATGGATTTTATCTAGCTAGTAGAGAGGTAATCGGCATCTTTGTGTATGTACGGTAGACAACTTCGTATGAAAACCTTTTCGGGGCTCACAGTAGCTATTGTTCCAGTTGTCAGTAGACTCTATGCCGAACATGGGTTCAGGATGTGTGTCGAGCGTTAACGCTATTTTCTGCCCTTTTTTTCAGGTTTTCGTAGATTCCTCCATTCTCATCATAGGCTTTTCCTTAGTCGCTTTGACACTCGGTATTTAGCAATGGTAACTACATCAGCTAGCTTTATCACGGTCCGTTTTGCTTTCCACCACCATCAATTTAAGGCTCTGAACATTTCTGATGTCAAAATAAAGGTAAATAAACTTGTGATGCATAAGAATACTGGAGGCTATTCAACTGAGCGAAAGCCAAACACTCATTTGACACATTACATCGATGTTTCCATTTTTAAGTGGATGTACAGTCTTGCATAATTCTTTTCTCACTGCGATTACACTGACAGCGGCACTTAAAGGAGCGCTTAATCTCTCCCCTTTTCTCCTTTCCATTTCTCTGCATGACACCTAATCCACTCCACATGATGAGAATCCTCTTGCAGCGTTGAGGAGCGTTGCAGGGGATTTTCTTTGTTTAATTGTTTGTAATCTTAACTGCTAGAAGTGAGGGTGGTGCTAATTAAATAAAGTATGAATTTTTACTCGACCTTCTTTAAGATTTCCTTAGACTAATTGAAAGTGTCTCTGACCTCTCCTAAGGTGTATTGACTAGACACTTTTCGATGAAAAGGATTGGCACTGAATTGATTGTTCTTTTCCCATTTATGGTTTTCTATTGGCACCCAAGATATGGTCGTGAGGAGGAAGTTTTAAGTTGAACGATTAGCTTTACTGGAAGCAGAAAGGAACCGGTCCATGGCAGTAGCGCATCAGACCTGTCATTGGTACATTACCGTGTTTTCCGGGGTTAGAGGTTGGCAGTTAAGAGGGTGGTACAATGAAGGAAGGATTTCGCTCTTATGTACTACTGTCCCGCCATAGGTTATGCGTTGCTCAGGCAGTGAATATTCACACGTTAAATGTACACACTCACTGGTATTGATGTTCACCATGTTGATCCACAGCGCTTGGAGTGGCTCGCGTAAACTTATATAGGATTGACTATTGTTTTCATGTGCTATGACCGAATATTCCATGAACAGTGAATCTACTGCAAGCATTCCACTTTCTTGCCCAAACAGTTGGAGGAGCTGTTGGACATCAAGTCTTTGGCCGCGCTTAAGGCTCCAGTTATGGCGGCGTGCGCGGCTCAATTTACGGCACTCTCAAATTGGGCGGCTACCCTCCTTCTTGCACCTCCTGCATCCCAGCGAGAACGTCATGCCGTCAAATTACTCAAGGTCATGAATGTGAGTGTTCAAGACGTCTCTACTTAAGTTGTCATCAAAATGACACAGCGAAAGTAGTTTCATTTAAAAAAAACCAGAAAGGCTTGAATGCCAGTCATAGGATGGGAATCGATTTTAAGGAGCCATTTAACCAAGTCACGAACTATCAAGAACACGCAAATTTTTCCATACATCCACAGTTTCAAATGCATGTTACTTTTTTCTTGCCCATAGTATCTACATTCACTGAAGAACTTCAACAGCTTTCTCGCCATACTCTGCGCATTTCTTCTTATTCCAGAGAATATCTTCTCCAAGAAGACTCGAGCAGTAAGCGACCACTTTCTCCCTCTTGGGGTTTCTTAATTGTACTAACTACGTTTAATACTTTAGCGCCTCACTCGTCTAAGACCCTACATGCAACCTCCTCACTTTTCAACATATCGACGTGAGTTAGCTGAAGCTTCACCGCCTCTCATTCCCTACCTCGGACTAACACTTCAAAATCTCATCGCTCTGGAGCAGATCAACCCTCTGTTCCTTTCCGAGGTTCCCAAAGGTATGCTCGCTACATATAAGCCGGAGCATGGGCCAATTGTCAACTTTTGGCGCAGCTGGAAACACTTCCTAATAATAAACTTTTTCGTCAAGCAGGACAATGCCGACGGAAGAGCCCCGTGAGTAGCTCCTTCCTTATCTACTTAGGTAGAATAACTTGTAATCATGACTTACTTTCCCCTTCGCCACAACTTTCGCTTAGACAATACGACATCAAACCGGACCTGGACATACTCGACTTCATAGCTGATTTCAAGAGAGCCTATCCCGACTTTGCACTGCGCGAACTCATCAATCGCAGAAAACGCGAGGCCTCCTAGAGCAAACGTCCCATTCTCCGCCCTAATTCCCATCAGATTCCACTTCTGTGTTGTTTGAACCAATAAAGATAGCTTAACAAGTTAACGCTTCACATACCCTTTTCATGTTCATTCAGACGCACGGTTTACCCCTTTAAATCTTTATTTTCCTGTAGAGAACAGATACGGCTGTTTCGATTCACCTATTTTATCATGTGCCTTCACATGCTCATGGAAATTCGTATTTAATCAACTGAATGTAGGCAGCCGGTAAACCCCTAGGAGAACATAGTGGGAGAGCTACACTGAGAAAAAATAAAAGTATATGCCAAAACTGATTACAATCCACTAAGATTGTGGGGGTTTAGTCAGTTCAGTGTGTTTTTTCGTTATCTCTGCGGGAATGTCGAGAACTGTAGTAACTTCGATGACTTGCCGAGGAGGGGAGTCGAAAACTAGAGGGGGGGCAAATGTGACGAATCCCATAGTTTACCTTCTAGAAACCCACCTCTCAAAAATGGGGGGAGATGGCGGAGGTTCGCTCACATATTCGGAGAATTCTTTGTCATGAATTGTAAAACGAGATTTGAAGCGTTCTTCATACTCTGCTTCTGTTGGTAGTTCAGACATTTCGAGTTCGATCTAAGAGCAACAAAAAAACCAGGGGCAGTGGCAATGAATAGAAACGAGCGTTAAAAGTAGAAGAGAGTAAGGCACATGAAAATACGCTAAAATCCAAAAATTTGAAAACAATGCAGCCAAGAGTAATATAAGTAAGGTGAGGGTTTCTTTTGGTGGAGAAGAGCATAGAATATGGCGAGATGACAACAATTCCGATTACTTCACAGATTCCCTGGTAGACTCGATGGACAAGATCGAAAGTCAAAAAAGGATACGTTGAGGATCGTTGTTAAAGAACCCTTAAAAAGAACAGCTTGCCTAAAACACTTAAAATGCTTTCCATATAGTTGATTCCTAAGATGGACATGCCAAAAAATGCAACTATGAAGACAGCAAACCCAGAATTTAAATGACTTACCTCGTAACCTAACGCCAAATCTGAATACCACTCACACTACAAGACTCGCGGTTACTTCCGAGACAACTTAAAATACTTAAGGTCATTATCAAGCTCACGAATTAATTATAATATCCCTAAAAGTCATTAAATAATAAATTCGATCCCAAGAAAACAACAGAGGAAGTAGGATACATGAAATTAGTAGGATTTTGTAGCCTTTTGCTATGTGGTCAACAATTGAACTAAAGTTGTATTATCCATAAATCTAGAACATAAATATCAGACAGAGCGTCAGATGCACGATTGTCTATATGAATGCCAAACGATGAACTGAGGAGTTCGGAGAAATGCAGCAGTAACGTCGAGCAGCTCCCTAGATTTTACTATTATTGTTAATTATGACACTCTTCCATTTTAAAGCAATCGAGACAAATAATTTAAGGATTCTTAAGTATTTTACGCATTGCGTTTACAAGAAGGATTAGGATTGAAGTTTTTGGTACAGCCTGAAGTCCAGCCTACCTAGCTAAGGCAAAACAAATATCACACAGCCTTTAGGGTCTTTATATTTTATGGTATGTTTTGATTGATTTCACTTGTCTTACAAGCTAGCAAGTGCAAGAGCCGTACTTCCAGATTGGTGGTGATTTTTTTGGAAGGGTACTTATAGAAGTTAGAGTTGCATCAGGTTTTCTCTTATCAGTAATCAAATTTTCCCTAGATTTAAAAAATGATCATCTTGACTTTATCAAAATGTTATTTGAATTGATATTTATATTGCCGCAACTTTATTGCTTCGGAAGAGATATCAAGGTCATTAACATAGAAAGCTATGTTGCATTTTCATTTGCCACTTCAACTTTTCGGGCTAAATTTAGGCTACCGTGACTTAATTTGGTTTGGTTTGTTATTCCTGTGTTTTACTGCAGCCTTTTCGCCAAATTTGCCATGAGATTAGGTCTTAGCAGCTGAAATATTCTGGTAGATGTGTGCATTATCACCTTCCTTGAATAAATAAGAGCTCAGCTGCTTGTTGCACTCCTGGAAGTTCCCTACCTTTTCGGCGGTAGACGGATGGAAACGGTCGCTTTCATACTTGTGTTGGTGTACACATTTTATCCTTCTTGATGTTTCTTACCAATTGTTTGCATTTGCCTGGTTTTCGGCACTCCTTTCATTAATCCTATAATTTCTTGGACGTATATGCCTTTTTGGGAAATATTTGGATACATTCACGTATAGATTTTATAGTCTAACCTGAATCGCCTCACTGGCTGCAGTGTGTAGAATAACCTTATGGCTCTGCAGATATCAACACGGCTTCTCAAGTCAATAGGAGGCTTCCTTACAATGTAGCCATTTCCGATTACAATGCCTTTGGAAATGGTCGAGGTATGTATTTCTAGTTTCGTCCCAGATTCTACCTGTAAAAGCTGACCGACTTTCTGATACTTAGTCTTGAGTAAGCTTTCCCGTTAATTTTTTTATCTCTTGCAAAATCGTAGGAGTCAGGCTGAACTCTTGTACCGTGCACTCCGACCTAATGCGAGATAGGATCACACGTGATGTGCTTTCGTGCATTATTCGAGTGCTTTTGTCTGCCATATCGGAGGCTGGAGTGATGGCCATGAAACTTTCAGGTAAGTGGAAAAGGAGGAGTAGGACTATTATGATGGTTATACTTAACCCCTTAAACTTCCATTAGACAGTAGTCAGAAATTTGGACAAGTGAAATGTGCAGACCGGTTGATGGTTTGGTTTCTCAAGGACTTCGCTTAAGCTGAAATTGCTCTTTCTCTGTGTTCTTGTATAATTTCAGTCTGTCATCACTTTGAAGGTCCAGGTAAAGCTCATTTAGGTCTCGCAGTTCGTGCCCATAGAATTGGGGATTGGTTGCAGCTTTGGCTTCATTCTACCATGTGCTAGCCACTTGTGTGTTAAAATTATCTATTTTCCTCAAATCTTGTTATCTGTAGTGCTTGCTGCCCATTTGGACTGTGGCCTATTTCGGTAACGTCTGTTGCTACTATCATATCTGCAAGTAACAAAGTTTATTCTGTATACTTGAACTTGACAATCTGTCTATGAATGGTTCGCATCACATAGGCTGCATTGCATATTGACCCTTTTCCCATGGCAAAATTAGTCTTTGGCCCTGTTACCACTGATGTTCGATTTTCGTTTCGTCAATGCAAGAAAGTGATTTGAGTGATTAAAACTATCCAATTTACTGGTCAATCATGATTTGATTCTTGGAACTCTGTTTCGGCTCTAGTCTGATGCTTAACTTGCGCGGCCTGTACTCGTTAGTTGACATGAAAATCGCTCCTTTTTCTGTGCATTTTTTCGTACTAATTTCTTGTTCATTGTGAATTTGTACTAAATATCAGACACGTCGTAAACACTATTTAACACAACCTTTCTCAGTTCAAAGTCCTACATCTTATAGGCTTTTTTGCAAGGGATTAACAAGTTAGTTTTTTTCCCCATAGAGATCAAATCGACTGTGTCGTTATCTTCAACACCAATATTCTGCATGCTCGACTGAAGGTTCTACATCCTATAGAAGTTTGGATTTTGGTACATGTGTTTTGCATAAATAATGAACTCGTTCTAGCGGTAAACGGGACTGAACTCGTCGCCATTCCAAGTGTAGCATATCAAACAAATTAATTCTGTTTCATCATCTCTGACGTGTGGAATGATCGCTTTACTGAAATGGTTGTGTTTGGAAGAAGATAAGCTCTACAGCACTTTATATCAATCTGTGAATTCAAGATCAGGCTGCTTGGTCTTCAAACAGTTTTAGATGCCAATCATAGCTAAATCGATTGTCGATTTCTTTCGAAATCCCGAGCAAAAGCGAATGAATGAAGGAAGGCTTGTTTTGGTTTTAGTGATCGTACAATTATTTTGTCGCTGGTAGCTATTATGGATGTTTCATTTCACTTGAGTTGATGCAACACCTGTCCGTGGAGTTTGGTGCAGTGATATATTGCAGCCTGGTAGGACTTGGCAAGTGACTACGATCCTTCATGCACGTGCATAAGAAAACGAGTGCGCACGTAAGTGTATCGGAGTGCCACTCTTCATTGTGAACTGCACTACTGTCCTACCACTACT